GGGAGAGGGGGGAGGCGGAGAGGGCGGGCAGGTCGCTTCCCAGCCCCACTAGTTCCCTTCTTGGCTTTGCTTTTGTGAAAACAACTACCTTATTAAACGAAAATAATGTTACCTTCTTAAGTGGCAGTCTCTGAGAAGAACACTAAGTTCAGTGTCTTCTGTGACCTACGAAAAAGAAATGTAGATGCTGAGAAACTCGTAGTCTGAAATCCGCTGGATCCCCCGGTGCCTCCTGCCCGAGATCCTCTGCCTTGCCTCACACTATTAATCTTCATTGCTTCCCTCTCCCCCTCTCGCTTGCGGTACTGGGGTTGAACCCAGGGAGCGATGAGCATCCCTAGCCTTTTTTACTCATTTTAAGACAACAGTCTTCACTAAATTACCTAGGCTGCGCTCAAATTGGTGGTGGTCTTACCTCAGCCTCCTGAGTAACTGGGATTATAAGATTACACTTCACCTGGCTATTCAGGCCTTTCTGACTTTTGTCCTGTCTGCCAGAAGTTGCCTTTTCTTGGCCTCCTCTCAGTCCCTTGCTCAGTGTGCACTTGATTCTACTCCAATTCATGTAAAACTATGATCAAATCAGTCTGTCATGCTTAACTCTCACTAACCTGTCATTTGGGACAGTGGTACCAGCCCTGACCTTTTATGGTGGACAACAGGGAAACTATCCCTCCCGAACTCTACAGGGCTCTCCTGTAAGTCACAGTGGAAGATACCTATTGAGGAAACTGTTTTCCTTTTCTGGAAATTGTGGCCCTCCTCGGAGATAGCCCTTATATCCATGTTCATAATGCTCCATAATTGAGCCAACTACCTTCTTATTCCCACATATATAAAACCGAGAAATTGTAAGGAGCTGGCAGTGGTTCCGAGGCCCCATACCAGCCAAGTGCTTTGTGGGGCTGAGGCTGCCTTCCTGCTTGGGGTTCTCTGTACTGTTGATCATCTGGTAGAAACAAAGCATGCAGTACACAGAAGCAAGGAGACGTCCCCAACCCCCTTCTCCAAAGTTTTAAGCCCTCCACCTCAAGTTTCTCTAACATCTCTACTCTTAGTTCATGCCTCCCTCCCTTCGACTCCATATTGCTTGCTCACTCTGTCTCTCCCTGTTCCATTTCACTATTGTGCCACAAAAAGGCCCACCTCCAAAATTTAAGGACTGAAATTGTTATGACCATAAATCCGCAATTTTGGCAAAGACTGCTCACCTCCCTGATGTTTGGAGTCCAAGCTGCGGACTGAAATTCCTTTCAGGCATTTTTCTCCACAAAGCCTTGGGCGCCCTCCTAGCTTGGGGGTCACCTCCCTCAGCCTCCCTACAAAGGCCCACCATTCTTCCCGAACCCAGGGCAGGGCAAGGCTCCTACCACACTCTACACATCAAGGTAGTCTCTTAAGCCACCGTAGATTCAACGGCAGGGAATTGGACTCCATCTCTGAACTGGAGGAGTGGAGGTCTAAAAGTTCTCAGTTTATCAAAAGAAATTGTGGCTGGGTGGGGTGGGTGGTGCATACCTGTGGTCCCAGTACACAGAAGACTGAGGCAGTTGGATCCTGAGTTCAAAATGAGACTGGGCTACCTGGAAGGAATCTGTCAAAGAAGAGGCGAATACTGTGGGTGACTCACCATGTAAATGCAAAGTGAAGGTTAGACAGATACAAAGAATATTTCAGGTATTGTTAGTTGACTATAAAACACAACAGTATATTTACAAAATTTTCAAGTGTTTTAAACACTGTTTTCTACCACTGTGCATAGTGATCTATTTTCAAGGTTAAAAATCTTGATTTTTTTTTTTTTTCTGGTACCAGGGATCGAATTTGGGTCCTTGCGCTTGCGCAGCAGGCAGCGAAACCACTGAGCTAAACCCCTGGCCCCCCAAAAGCCTGATTTTTAAAAAAGATTTACTAGGTGTAAATGCTGCACATGGTAAAGCATTGCTTTGTTGAGGCAGGGTCTAGCTACGTAGTTCAGGCCGGCCTTGACTCACTTCAATCCTCCCGCCTCAACCTCCCGAGTGCTGAGATTACAGAAGTGCGCCACGGTGGAAGCAATTTATGACATCCCTGCTCAGACAGATCCCAGGGAAAAACGATTCCCTGTTAAGGTGGTTAGGGAAATAAACCTTGCTATTTAACGTTTAATTGAAGGAAAAGGGGGAATTCTAACAAGTGTGTCCCGTGAAGATAAACTTGAAACTTCCCTCTCGCTGAATAAAAAGTGAGACAAACTCGGGTGGGGGTGGCGGCGTGCGAAGTCATCAAGGTGAGGGTGGCGGGGGCCGAGGTCTCCTTCTTGCCTCCCCACTTCATCCCAGAGCCCATATGGCACGTTCACCTGCGTCCGCCACGCCCCGGAGCCACTGGAACGCCGCTCTAATGCCGTAGTAGGCCGGGCATCGGAAAGGGGACGCGAGGGAGCTCGGTGACGTCACCGCAAGGGTGTGGCGTATGTAGATCAGCATGCATGCAGAGACAGCCGGTCGCTTTCAATTTGAGAAACCACGTCCCGAGAAGCCAACAGGTAAATGGTATCGAAGTAGTTTTCTGAGAATGGAGTATAGAATAAGGGGATCTGAGGGAGATTGGGTTCGGAGGCCCCCATGAGAAAGGAGACCATGACTTTAGAGTGTGTCTGGTTCCAGGGTTTGGGTCGAGGCGAGCATAACAACTCATACTTACCTGGCAGGGGAGATACCATGATCACGAAGGTGGTTTTCCCAGGGCGAGGCTTATCCATTGCACTTGGGATGGGCTGACCTCTGCGATTTCCCCAAATGCGGGAAACTCGACTGCATAATTTGTGGTAGTGGGGGACTGCGTTCGCGCTCTCCCCTGATAACTTTGTTAAAAAGTAGATATTTGATTGAAGTCGTCTGAGGAAAAATTTTAAGCTTGCAATTTGAACTTCATGTACTTTCTCATGTCAGTTATAAAATAGTGTGCTCTTTAACTAATTTTTGGTGCTGAGATAGTATTTTTTATGTTGGTGAGAGATTTGTGAAGTGGAGTAGGAAACACCCCAAGAAATTAATCTCATGAAGTTTATTTTTATGTGTTGTAGGACATATTAAAGTTGGTGATCCTTTTTATACTTCTTAAAATGTGCTTGTGTATTATTTTAGTGTACTTACACCTCTTTTTAAGTGAAAAATTGGTTTATCAAGTCAAAAACTAGCGAACTATTTTTTTGTTTCTTGGTACAGCTGCGAGGCATAGTGGATGCCATTGAGCTAAATTACTGGTCTAAGCCGTTTTTGACACCACAATGCAGGGCAAAGTAAAATTCCCCACATGACTAAAACAACTCAGGCGTAGAAATTACACATGTATCAAGTCTGGACTGTGAGAGCCTCAGAAAAGAGTATATACAAAAGTGGAGGCTAGCCTGGGCGATTTTTCAAACTCGGGCCCTTTGAATTTTCGTAGCAGGCCCCGAAACCACTGAGTTAATCTCTGGCCCCATCCTGGGTAACTTATTAAGGCCCTATTATGAGAAGTACACTGGAGCCAGATCAAGTCGATAAATGCAAAGGTTTTCAAGTTCAAGCCAGTCACGGTTATCACAAGGTGAGCAATTCTAAGACGTTCAAACTGCATGTTTTCTCAGTTCTAGAAACTCAAAGTATAAGCTCAAGGTGTCAGTACCTCTGGTTTCTCCTGACACCCCTTGGCTTCCAGCTTGAGATGCCTTCCTCCTGTGTCCTCATGTGATAGCCAATTTAACTACATTTGTGTAAAGTCAAATAGTTTCGGGTGGTCTCCTTCCCCTTCCCCCGTGGGAGTCTCCTCAGTTAATGCATGGCAGACTGCCGTATTCTGTGTAAATTTGCAAATGTTATTTGTACTGCCTTACAAGCAGGACGCCTGTAAAGTCTGCAACTGTTCCTTTGTCCAGTCTTTTTGGTATAAGCCACGCTGGATCAGCCCGCTTATAAAAGATTCCATTTAATTCAGAGTGTGGCGCATCTCTATGTTCTCGCTTTCATGTGTCACATCCCTGGGGCACGGGGTGTGTGGGGGGAGCCGCCTACACTGACTTCAAACTCACCCTTTTCTTGCTTCAGCCTCATTGTGCAATAGCCCGGACGCCAGGCGCGTGCCTTGTCTCTCACAAAGACACTGGCTAGGGGAGCCAGGCAGGTGTGGACTATGCCTGCCAGCAGTCCCCAGTCTGATACTTAGGCCAAAGCGGGAGGATCTCCTCAGACCAGAAGTTTGAGGCCACCTTGAGCACTATTTTTAAAATACAGCAGTCAATGGATTGTGACCTTATGACTTCTTTTAACCCTAGTCTGAAAAGCTTTATATACTTTAGGCACTCAAAATGAATTCTGGGGTGACACCAATCTATAACCTATGGAATTTTGCGCTTTTGTATACGAAGGTAGAAACAACTCCACACATGTTCTCAATTTGTCCTCAAATGATTTGTTGAGCATGGTGGTGCACACCTGTAATCCCAGCACTCTAGGAGGCAGGACCAGAAGGGTGCCAACTTCAAGCCCAGTTTAATTTAGCAAGACCCTGTCAAAAAAGGAATGGATGGGAGTTGTAGCTCAGTGTGATAAGCCCAGGATTCGATCTGTGGCAGTTCAATTTTTAAAAAAAAAAATTTTTTTTTGTACTGGGGATCGAACTCGGGCCCTAGCGTTTGCACAGCAGGCGGTGAAACCACTGAGCTAAATCCCCGGCCAGTAAAAAAACTTTAATCAACAGCACCATTCAGTAGTTCAACCTAAATTTCCTAAATTCAAGTAGTAAATGGAAAAATTATGTTACTGCCTTTACCCAAGAGGACACTAAAAATTCCAACTTTTAGCCACCATAGCTAACTCCCAAAGATAGGACAACGCTGCCTTACGTGTGTTACATCGCAAAGAGGAAACTATGATACTCAGGAAAAGCTCCAAGACTATGAAACTGGCTGAGGCAGAACTCAGTGCTAGTGAAAACCAGAGCCGAAAATCCAACGCTCAGTTGTTAGACCTTACAGAAAACCGGTTCACATTAGTTCCACTGCAAAGTACAACTACTACTTAGAATGCGCAGGCGCTGGGCTAAATCCCCAGAACCGAAAAGCAAAAGCACTTCCAGAAAAAGGGACAGTCACTAGGTCTGAAACTCGCCCATCGGCAAGTTGGAGCCCAGCCTGGCCGAGCAGTGAGACCAGGTTTCAACCAGAGGGGTGGTGCTGGGCTGTGAGGGTAGAGCTCAGGAAGAAGAGAAAAGAAAAAACTAGGAGTCCACCAGAGACCGCCTCGCAGTAGATGCCGGGAAAAGTTAAGCGTGAAGAGTATACAGGACCACGGCTCGTGAGTAGTTGCCCTATCTCTGCGTGGCCCTGTGCGGCTCAGCGGGGCCGAGGCTCGCACATAACCAGCGGAGGGACGCTCTGGTCAGGAAGGCGGGCCGAATCATCGGAGTCTGTGGCTTCTGCGTGGCCGGGACGGGCGCCTCGGCCCAGCCGCCGGTAAACAGCGGCTGACCGAGGAGCAACCACCTCGCGCGAAAGCCGCACCTGACCACGAGCGGCCCAGCCTCGAAGCAAACTCGCCGGCTGCGCCAGAACCAAACGGCGCACGCCGCTTCTCTCGCCTAGCTGAAAACCTCGCGAGAGCTGCAGAAAACCCCCAGCTCCGACCTCCAGCCCTTGCACCTGGAAAACCATCCGCTTTCAGCTTCGCTCAACTCATCGCGGCCTCGCCCCTATGCAGCACCCGGCCTACACTTTTTGTCCCACAACTCAAACGGTCAACAGCACAGTAAGTGTGACCTCACATAATGCCTCACTGACGTAAAAACGCAGAAGAATAAGCTACAGCTACATACAGTTTCGATTGTGCCAAGCACGTCGACAGAAACTCAACTTACTCAGGTGTAACAAGTCCAAAAAGCACAAAACCGAACCTGCTCAGCCAGCCTCCGCAGACTATAGTGGGCAGCACGGCACTCCCTGGACACCCAGCGACCTTAGCAACTGTTCCTTTACCTTGCTTCCTAAAGATACCCGGTCTCAAACCCTCAGCAAAACTGTCCATGAAAAACGTGTTCCGCTCTGGAGTGGATAGAAACTCTCGTTCCTCCCGAGTCTTTGGTCTCTTCACCTCGTAAACTGCCCACTCCTACCAACAGACGGCCGCGCACAGCACACCTTTAAGGCGAGCGAGCCGTAGGCCACCTGTGAAATTAGGCCCGCGTAAACACTTCTTAACATA